CGCGCAGGAGGGAGCCCCTGGATCTCAGGTGAGGGGCTAATGAGCCTTCCTCCCCTCCCCACCTTTCAACCGGGGATATTAATAGCCCTGGTCCTGTCAGAACATCTTATGGGTGAAGTCAGCTACTCTGATTTCTAGATGGTAATGGCCAGGGCATACAGAGGACAGAGCTCCATTCTACGGCACCAGACAAGGTCTGATATCCTGGGGTGTTTGCTGTGGCATAGTGCTCACCGCACAGCCCTGTCTCTATGTATCCTCGAAGACCCGTGTCAAATGGCCTTTTCTCTAGGATATGCTTTCTCTCTGAAGTCTTAGCTGTATCATATTTGCCCACATTTATTTCCTGGTGCACTGGATCCCTTTAAGACAAGGGGGCATCTCAGTATCTCCAGTCCCTCCCAGGATAGTGTTGGACACTGTGCCAAGTGCTTTAGGAAATTTCACCAGTGATTAGTAAGTGTGTGTGTGTGTGTGTGTGTGTGTGTGTGTGTGTAAAAGGCACTATAAAACCCCTCCTGGTGTTTCCGTGAAGGACCCATTGCCCTGTCCTTAGCTCTTCCTCCCCTCTTTCCTCCTTCTGTCCAATCCCCCCTAACCCAAGGGGGAATCGCACCAAAACCCAGAGTCTCACCTGGGTGGGAGGGTGAGGAGCAGATGTATTAGGCTCTGTTGACTTTGGCCTTCGGTAAGATAGCTGGACTAGTAGCCAAAAGATTTTCCTTCGGCCTGCACTATCCAAAGCATTTTCTTTTTCTTTCTTTCTTTCTTTCTTTTTTTTTTTTTTTTTTTTTTTTTTTTGCAGGTGGGTATGGTGGCACATGCCCGTAGCCTTCAAAGTTAGGAAGCTGAGGCAAGTAGATCATGAGTTTAAAGCCAGCCTAAATAATATAATGAGACACTGTCTTAAAATAAAATAAAATAAAATAAATCCTTAATGGGCATTAGGGAATGTAGGTCCGTATTAGAGGGTTTGACTCCAGTGCGTGGGTCTTAGGTTCGGAAAACAAATCCATTCCAGAGCTGGGGTGTGGCCCCATGGTAGGGAGAATTCATACCTGCGTGTTATGACAGCATCTCATCCCCAGACTTAAATGTGTGGTATGTGAGCTTGTGTGTGATGGGAATTATCAGGAGGAACACTGTGACAAAAATACCCAACAACAGCGACTTAAGGAAGACTGTACTATGGCTCACCCCGTTGAGCACTGTGCACCGCAGCAGGGAGACTTCAGCTGGTCCCAGGGCACACAAGAGTGCACCTCTTCAGTTGGCTTTTTCCTCCACATTCAGCCCAGGCGCCAGTCCACAGTGTCACTCACAGAGAAAATCTTCCTCTTTCCACCTCACTGAACCCAGTCTAGAAACTCCCTTCCAGACAGTCCCAGAAATTTGTCTCCTGCTGAAGCTCAAACGCTAACCATCACACTCCAGCAGAAATGAGTCCTATTCCGAACTCCAGCAAAACAAAGCGCTGGCCTTGGTGGCACGTGATTGTTTGGTGTTTTGCTTGTTTTAATATTTTAACGTTTTTTTTTTAATGTGCATTGATGTCTTTGCCTGCATAAAAGTCTCTGCACCAGGCTGGGCAGTGGTGGCGCACGCCTTTAATCCCAGCACTCGGGAGGCAGAGGCAGGCGGATCTCTGTGAGTTCGAGACGAGCCTGGTCTACAAGAGCTAGTTCCAGGACAGGCTCCAAAACCACAGAGAAACCCTGTCTCGAAAAACCAAAAAAAAAAAAAAAAAAAAAAAAAAAGTCGCACTGCCTACATGCCCTTACCTTCAGAAATCAGAAAAAGACCACAGTGCCCTGGGACTGGAGTCACAGATGGTTGTGAGCCACCATGTAGGACCTGGGAATAGCGTCCTGGTCCTCTGGATGGGCAGCCAGTGATTTTTACTGCTATGCCATGTCTCCAGTCCCATAACACATGCCTTTATACCAGCACTCAGGAGGCAGAGGAATGCAGATCTCTGCGAGTTTGAGGCCAGCCTCCTCTACATAATGACTTCCAGGACACCCAGAGCTACTACATATTAGTGATACCCTATCAAAAAAGAAGAAAAACAGAAAGAGAGAGAGAAAGAAAGGATGAAAAAAATCCTTATCAGAAGCTCCTTTCTTTCCCACCTCTTACTTTCCAAACTGAAAAATTTGCACACATTACTAATAAAGTAAGAAATTGTACACTTTCGTTTTCAAAATTACCTTCAGAGAGGAAGGCAAAAATGGCTCCAAGTTTAGGACCCACTATGTCACTGCTTGCCCAAGTACTTACAGATGCCCCATGCAGCAGCTCTGGCCTCCCTACTCTGAAGCATCAGATGAGCGGCTGAGTGGCTGTGGCTGCTCCAGTCTGGAAAAGTTGCCTGCGGGTGAGGAGCGTTCTCGGTGGACCAGGATCTCCCACCCCCACCCAGCACACCCAGAGTTAAGTCTAGCCCTCAAAAATTCCCAGAAGGGATTCACAAAGGGGTTTTCCCCAGACTAACAGACACCTCATACATATTTGTCACCTAGCACAGATGTTTGCCTGGGGGTGGGAGCGCTGGGAGACAATGCAGGTACACAACTTTAGGGTAACAGGTAGCCCCAAACAAAGTCAGACACGCCGGGGCGAGCTAGAACTGGGATGCCCAGGAGGCCTAGATTTATTCTGTGTTCTGAAGTCCCTTCTGTCGTCCAGGACCGCATCTCACAGAGCCTGAAGCTCTCCTGTCCGCCCAGCAGGCGGCGCAGCGGCTCTGGGCGCACCGGGGTGGTGCGAATGTGTTGTGGGTCTAGTTTCAGCACTTTGCAAGACTGTTGTTTGCCAGGCGTATTTCCTCTACTACCCCGTTCCAGGAAAACATGCCCAAACAAAAGTGCCCTGCTTACTGCGGGACTCTGGGAGGGCAAACACTTTATCTCAGCCCATCACTGAGCTCTACATGCCAAGGGATAGCCGAAACAGATGGGCACTTCTAAAAGCACAAATATATGGATAAGATCAAGATCTGAAGTGACAATGTTGGAGAAGGTCCCAAACCAGAGGTTCTGCGTCTTGTCGAAGCCGAGGTTTCCGCCCCCCTCTTCACCCAGCTAGCTCCTGCCTCAGACTCGAGCAGTCAGGGGGCACCACGTCCCTGCCAGGCTGGACCCATGAAGATTGAACCTGCCAGGCGGGAAGCTGCGCAGCGGGGACCCACACGTATTCGCCCAGTGGCAGCCAACGGAGGCGATCCGGCTCCAACGCCGTCTCCCCCAGAGACAAGCTTGGGCTATTTTCTCTAAAGATATATTACTGCCTAACCCCTCTGCGAGTTTCTCAGCGCTCACACGTTTACACCTTTGTAGTGAGTGACCTCACTCAACAAACTCTGACCGGCTACTGTTCGCTGGCGCCGGCGACGCGACAGAGAACAAAACAAAACTCTGCGAAGCAAAAGAACTAGGAGGGGGTACTCGCACCACGGGGAGCGCCTGGGAGACCTTCACCTATGAGCAAAAAGCGCGTGAGGCACTTCTCTAGGGCTGCTGATAAACTTCGGACCCGGAGGGAGGGGCGGGCCACACCTTGGATCGGCGTGGGGCTCCGGCACGTCGCTTAAGGCAGGTGTGCTCGCAGGTGGCATGTGCTGTGCAAAGCCGGACCCTGACCCAGGAGCGGGATTTCAGGGCGCGGCACCTAGTTGGAGTTCGGTAAATATTTATGGTGAGAGTGACAAGAAGGGCCCACCTCCCGGAGGAGGAGGAAGGTCAGAGCCCTCCTCAACGCCAGGCTCCTCCCCAGCAGGGTCAGCACCGGACTGGCCGTGGCGTCCCGGCACGGCGTAATTACAGGCTCTGCCGCCAGGCTTGGCCGTAAAAAACCAGGATGAAACGTCCAGGAAACCCAGGAAGCTGGGCCAGAGCCGGCAAAGAAAGGGGGTCGGCGGCTTGCTGTGATGCGCAGCCGCAAAGAAAGGGGGGAGGGCAAGAATTAAACCCCTGCCCCATCAACCCTGCAGGCACACAGCCACACACGCAAACTATCAAACACTCAGCTTTCAGCTTTCCAGCTCCAGGAACACACTCGAGTCTAATCAAACACCTGCCCGCCAGCTCCAACCCTGTGCAGACGCCGCCAACCCCTCTCCAGACAGCTGTGATTCGAGAGGTGAATTCCTGCAAGGTTGTTTACATGGAGCGGGGGAGGGGTATCTGAGCCTGGTAGTGAGGCCCGGCGGACTGGAAGACCCAAGTCTGACTGAGCCAAACACAGAAGCCCAAACTACCCCTACTCCAGCCCACCCCCGCTGCACGCCCAAACACCTTTCCCCTCTTCTTCACACACTGTTCACAAACATTAGCATACGTATGCCAGGCGTTTCCACACGCTTCCACACACACTCACAAGTGTATTTACACCTACCCGCCATCACACGCATTTACACACGCCACATGTACATGTGTCGGTTAGTTTGTCACCCTTCATGACCATATTCCCACAGTCCATCTGCAAGAGCGCATTTGCTCGAGGCACACGTGAGACATATAAACAGGTCATTAGTGTACTTCGGCACTATTAAAATATTAAGACCCTCGTGAGCCCAAGGGTCCTATCTGTTCCTCTCGCACAAAGTACTGATGGACTGAGGAGTCCTTAGCCCTGGCCGCACACTTTACACACTTGATCACACACAGCGTCGCACTTTATTCCCGGCATCTAAGCGATGACACAATCTCTTGAACAAAGACAACATTGACAAACCCAACAAAAACAAACAGCCGCGTCTGTGTGGGGAGAGGCAGTCAAGCGCAGAGTCTGGGCATGGAGGGGGGGCAATCTCGAGAGAGTGTGAGAAGGCGAGTACGCGGGCCTGAGTGTGAATCTCGGGAAAGGTGTGGGTATAGCCCCCACCTCGCACCTTGGCAAGATTGGCGCCCCGCGCTGCAGAACCGGGTCCTGAAGCCGCTTCCCAGACCCACATGAGTGAGTTCCCTTTTCCAGTTCGCGTCTGCGCCGCGCCCTGTCCCACAAAGCCTACAGAGCCTCACACAGACGTGTGCCCCCCTAGCCCCCCGTAAGCGAACACGCAGCTAAGGAGAGATCCGTGCAGAGCCCGGAGCGCGCTCCGTCCCAGGGGCAGGGAGCCCCCCCCCCCACCCCGCTCGTTTTCCCATCCTCCACCTCCCTAGCCACCGAGCCCTGGGGCAGCGCGCGCCGGGAGGGGCGGGGGCGGGGCGGGTGTCGGGCGGCGCCGGCCCAAAAGGCGGAGTCGAGCAGAGAAGAGGCCAGATTTGTGTTCGCGGTGGTGCCTACTGTACGGTGGAGGAGCAAGTGGGAACCTTATACTGCAGAGCTCTCGTCCCGGCCTGGCCCGGCCCGGCCCCACGCTATGGAGTTCCTTTGGGCCCCTCTCTTGGGTCTGTGCTGCAGTCTGGCCGCTGCTGACCGTCACATCGTCTTCTGGAACAGTTCAAATCCCAAGTAAGCCCCGAGACTCCCTCTGGTAGCCTGGGCGCCTGGTTGGCAATGCCTTTCCTCGCCACCCTCTGGCCTGAGCCTAGGAAGGGTGGCCAGGAGTGGGAAGGATTCTGCAGCGTCCCTTCTCCGTCTTCACCTTACCTTAGTAACTGGCAACACCCGACCGTGGCTCATGCCGACTTGGACTGGCGCTATTTCTGCCCTTCTCTTCCTGCCCTCTGGCGTCCCATCACTCCTAAAGTAAGGATCTCACGCCGAGCGTCCTTGCCTTGAGAATGTAGCCTTGGCCCTGGCCTCCAGGGCTCTTTAAGTCCCCCCACGAAACGTCTGTGCCCTGTCTTTTTGTGGGCCGCTTGAGCATTTGTGAACTGACAGGCAGCTATTGACACCGAGAGTAAACACAACGCTCGGCGTAGCCCTGGAAGACTCTTGGTAGGAGTCTAGGTTCGGGCATTAGGTATTCATTCTGTATTCCAGATGACCCTGGAGAGTACCCCCAAGGATTTTGGGGTGGCATAATTTAGGCACATGCTGTGCATGGACAGACCGAAGGGAGTGGCCAAGGTGGCCACACTAAGGAACTCCTGAGAGGATTTGTCTCTGGAAAGCTTGGGGAGGAGCAGGGGGGTTTCACGCGGCCAAAGCGGGCTGTAACCGGAAGGAGGTAATTTCTCCTGGGCAGGTTTAGGGCTGTGAAGCAAACGGTTTGGGGAGGAAGACCCTGTCAAACCCTTTGTTCTTGCCCTTGAGTTTCCTCAAGTTGTGAGAACAGTATTTGGGGAAAACCAAGAGGGGGTTAGGGTGGGACAAGGAGAAAAAAGCCTCGACCCTGACTGGGGGGGGCACAAAATACCACTAAACCACCCCCTTCCCCTGAGACAGACGCTGTGCTGGTCTCCTGGCATTGTGGCATTGCATTGTGGGTCTGCTGGCAGCACAGAGCCAGCTGCCAACCCTAAGGACAGTGTCTTCCTGGCCCTGGGGTACTACAGCAGCCCAGTCAGCTTGTCCCCCTGACCCAGTCCTGTCCTAGTAGTGGGAAAGAGCAAAGTCCCTGTTTATGCCCATGCCAGGTGTTGGCTGAAGGAGGAGGAGGGGACAGGAAGCCGGGAGTAGGGAGGGGGGATCTCTGGCCTTTTCCGTTCCCAAGCTCCCAGGTTTCCTCTCTTTCAGGAAGGAGCCTCTTCCTTGCCCCCCTCCCTGTCTTCTCCACCACTAATGTAACCCCCCTTTCCAGATGGAGACCAAGTGTCCTAGGCAGGCTGAGAGGAGAAGATGGTGCCCCACTAAGTACAGCATCGGCCCTGTCCCCCTGGACACACACATACCCTGACTTATTTACAGCAACAGGAAAGCTGGTTTAGCGTGGAGGTCATGGGCAGTCTAGCCAGGGCCAGCTTGGGGGAAGAGATGAGGCGGCAGTGAGCAGGGCGGGGGTGACTCAGAGTAGTGGGCATTAGCCCTGAGATCCCCAAGCTCCAGGCAGAGGCCTGGAGACACAGGCACCCTGGCTATTCCAGCTCCTCTGCTCCCTCTACCCAGAGGTACCGAGCTGCCCTGGGGTCCTGGGGTCTGCCCTCATTTGACAAGGTAAATTTTCACAGGCGTTCAAGAGCGCCTGGGCGGGTAGCAGAGGTGGATGAGGCATGAGTCAGTGCCCATCACGGGAATGGGGGAAAGACGCCAGGCCCAGAGCTGAAATACCTGTTCTGAAATGGCTTCTATGTTTATCTCTCCAGAGAGGAATTTTAAAAGCCCTCCCTCTGCTTCTCTTTTCCCCGGGGTGGGGGAGGGGCCTGCCAAGCCTAGTTCCAGAGGCTGCAAGCTGTTGCAAGGCCAGGCCTCTAAAGGGTTATGATGACTGGGTAGTGGGTGGCCACCATGAAACCCCACCATCACTATGGGCACCACCCATGCCAAGGACTTGGTTTTAAAGCAAATTGGCAGCCAGCTCTGCTGAGCCTCCCACTGGCAATGCTTGGGAGAATTCAGAGCGCTGACTGGCTTTCAAAGGGGGGCGGGGGGGGGGCACTTTCCCACTGCTAAGACCCTACCCAGGCTGGAGCCAGGTGTCTGAAGCTAAGTGGGAGGGGCTGGTGGGCAGTCAGGCTGGAGCCTGCCAGGCTTTGGGGGGGAACCGACTGGGGGAGGGGAGCTGGCTCCACCTGGGGAGACAGAAAGGCAAGGCAGTCTCCGGTCTCAGAACTGCAGCATCTCATCAGGGAAAGGTGTGACTGAGGCTCTTGGACCTAAAAAGACAGGGATGTTTGGGGTGCTCTGAGGGAATGGGACAAGGAGATCAGGGCGTAAATTTGAGTAACAAGAAAGGGAGATTTGAATCACCTGATAAGAACGGTTTTACTATCTGTGAGTCTGGGTTTGGACCAGAGATTGGGTGCTGCAGGGTACTGGAAATCTGAGACTCTGCGTCCCGGGACAGAGATAAGCCAAGCCAGGGGTGATGAGGAGCTCAGCGACAGCAGAGAGAGACCCAGCTTGGCTCCTGAATCCAGAACAGCCCAGACTGAAGTTTCCTGGCATTTAAAGAATCACCTGGGGAAACAGAACCTATCCCTGGGCAAATACCTGGGTGTTCTAGAAAGTACTTCGGTTCCTGAGAGATACTTAGTGGATGTTATTTGGAGAAGGAGTAGGAGATGCCGGTATCGAGGGAACGGTTGAAGGTGGTAAAGAAAGATGAAAGAGATCAAGATCAGAAAATCTGGGAGTTAAGATTTGGGGGAAAATTCTTTGGGACTCCAGTGTGAACTGTAAGGGATGATGTGTGGCCAATTGGAAGCTTCGGGCTCCGGCCTGACTTCTGAGTGAACTGCTTCCCTCTGCTCTGCACCGGCCCAGGTTCCGGGAGGAGGACTACACCGTCCACGTGCGGCTGAACGACTACCTCGACATCATCTGCCCGCATTACGAGGACGACTCCGTGGCGGAGGCTGCCATGGAGCGGTATACACTGTACATGGTGGAGCAGCCCGAGTATGCGGCGTGCCAGCCCCAGTCCAAGGACCAGGTCCGTTGGAAGTGCAACCAGCCCAGTGCCAAGCATGGCCCGGAGAAGCTCTCTGAGAAATTCCAGCGCTTCACACCTTTTACCTTGGGCAAGGAGTTCAAGGAAGGGCACAGCTACTACTACATCTGTGAGTACACAAGGGACAGGCGACAGCACTAGTGGCCGGCACCATGTGCTTGGGTCAAGTAGCATAGAGCCCCGCCCCCTTCCAGATCCAAACTGTTTTCTCTCATTCATATCGCAGATGTGGAACAAGCTTCAGGTGTGTGCTAGGCACTCAGATTGGCACATGGGCACAAAAATAACTAAAATATTCCTAGCCCCTGCCCTCAAGGAAGCTGGGAAGGAACCCACATAAATCTTCAGGCCAATAGAAGAGTGTGGTGTGACTGACCTGAACACGGGGCACTTGGGGAAATGACCTGTGTGCCTGCCGAGGTCAAAGACAGCAAAGACTGTGTGGAATGACAAGTGCAAGGGCGCATGCGCCAAGGAAGAGTGACCTCTTCTAGAGCTCCCGGAATGAGAGGAGGGCGCATGCGCCATGGGAGGGCGAACACTTCTAGAGCTCCCGAAATAAGAGGCATATGAGAAATACAGTGATGGGCTTGAAAAGTGGATAGGACAGATTCTTGGAACCGAAATACTATTAGGCATTTATACTTCGTCCTGAGGGTGGCAGGACTCATTGATGAATCCTGAGAGTTACAAGGTCCAGGGCTCTGTGAAGGCTAGATCCAGGGCTTGTTCTCTGCTTGGGTCTAGGCTAGCACAGTAGAAAACGGCCCGAGGAAAGGGAAATTACACTAAGAACACCTCACCCAACTTCAGGCTGGGAGCCATGAGAAATGGGATGTGTAGAAGGGACATCATCACTACCATTGCTAAAGTTGCGTGTTGTTCCAGAGAATGAGAGACGGGACTGAACACTGATCAGAAAGTAGGCAAAGACTGAAGGTAAATAAATATCAAGATTAGGCAAGGCATGGGGGCTCGCAACTATAATCCCAGCACTCAAGAGACTGAGATAGGAGGACTCGTGTGAATTCAAAGGTAGCCTGGGCTACAAAGTTTCAGGTCAATGTGGGCTAGAGTAAAACCATGCCTAAAACAAACTGAATAGGGGCTGGGCATGGTGGCGCTCGCCTTTAATCCCAGCACGCAGTGAGTTCGAGGCCAGCTTGGTCTACAGAAGGAGTTCCAGGACAGCTAGGGCTACACAGTGAAACCCTGTCTCAAAATAAATAAATAAATAAATAAAATGAATGAATAAATAAAATAAGAAAGCAGTTACTGCATAAACTTGATAACCTGAATCCTGTCTGGAGCCCATGTGTGCCGGCTGCCATGGCCCTGGAGCCCACAGGAAAGGGCAAAGACAGCAGAACATGTTTGTAACTCCAGCACTCCTATCTGGTGATGGGAGGCAGGGACAAGAAAATTAACATTGGTGGGGTGTGGCGGCCCAAACCTTTAATTCCAACACTTGAGAGGCAGAGGCATGTGTATCTGAGTTTGAGACCAGCCCGGTCTACAGAGTCAATCTCAGAACTGCAGGGAGTTTGTAGAGACCCTGTCTTAAAAAAAAGAGAGGGAGAAAAAGCAGAGTTCTTTATACAGCCTTACTGAGCATGCAGTACAGAGGCAAGATGGACGGCAAGAACTGACCCCCAACATTTGTGCTCTGTCTTTCACACACTAAAGAAGAAGAAAGCAAGGTTTAAAAATAAATAGTCATAAAGGTTGTATATTGTTTGGATGCTTTATCCAGCACTCAGGAGGCAGAGGCAGGTAGATTTTTGTGAGTTTAAAGCTTGCCTGGTCTACATAAGGAGTTCCAGGGCAGTCAGTGCTACATAGTGAAATCTTGTCCTAAATAAATACAAAACAAATTTTAAGTAAACAGGGCACTGAGAAAGCAGAGTCAAATGTGAAATCATATCTTCTAGCAAAGGCTCTTTCCTTAACATCCTGTGGATTTATTTTACAGCCAAACCTATCTACCATCAAGAAAACCAGTGCTTGAAGCTGAGGGTGACCGTCGATGGCAAAATCAGTGAGTGTCAGGCGCTGTGGGTGCCTCCCTTCCGAGCGTGAGCCTGGGATGGGGAGGAAGTTGCCTCCTTGCCTCCTTAGCAATACCTGATCTATTACCATTCTTGTCTTTCAGCTCATAGCCCTCATGCCCATGCCAATTCACAGGAGAAGAGAATTCTAGCAGGTAGGGCACGAGAGCCAAGTGGGCCTGGGTCACAGGAAGGGTTTGCTAATAGAAGCAGCTCCTTTGCCACCCAGGGGCTGGCTGGAAGGTGGTGCAAACAGCGGGGCCACTTACCTTGTCTCTGCCTTCTCACCTGCAGACGACCCGGAGGTTCAGGTCCTGCACAGCATCGGTTACAGTGCTGCCCCCCGACTCTTCCCACTGGTCTGGGCTGTGCTGCTGCTGCCGCTGCTGCTACTGCAAACTCAGTGAAGGTGGATGCTTCACCTGGCTTAAGGATTGGAACTGGGCCGCGGAGCAGGGAGAAGCACCCCAAAGCTCCAGCCCTGGGGATCACTCCCACTACATGCTCAAGCTGCCACCCCGAAGCCTCAGAAGGCTCAGGATTAAGGGTTTCAACCCAAAGGAGTTCAACCAGCCTAACTGTGCCATTCCTGCCTCCACTTCAGAGGGATGGAGAAAGAAGAGGGGGAGGTCCTTTCCCTGCGATTTTTACCTTTAAGCCAAAGAAACAAGCTGTGTGGGCCTAGACCATTTAGAGGGCCCAGTGGGAGATGAGCTGGGGGCCTGAGGTCATGCAGTTGGACACTAAAGACGCCCTTCCAAGGAAACTCTGATGTCCAGATGAACTGACTGAAGAGAAAGCTTGAGACAGCTTCCTGCGTGGGAGCCAGGTACAGGAGAGGCTGCATGCTTGGGCTGACCCAGCATCTCTGCAAGATTTCCACCTGCTGAGCTGCCAAAGAGGTTTGTAGCCAGGCACCGACTGCATCCTCCCCGTCCTTCGGGCAGCATTCCCTGGAGCTGTGCCAACACGAGGACTATACTGAGAGTATAGCTGTAAGGGCAGTGCCCATGTGTTCCGTCTGTGTAGAATGTAGCTAAAAGGGCAGGGCCCACATGTACAGTGTCTGTATATAAATGTGCTGCGTCTGCTCGTTTCTACAACTGGACTTATTTTTTTAATATACAGTGTTCTTGGATCATAATAAAGCAATGTTTTTGGTTTTTTTGGACATGTTTTTCTGCCCCTGTATGTCGATTCATGATCACAGAGTCCCTACTGTGTGTTAGACTCTGCCACAGCAGGAGCTATGAGGAGCTATGCAGGACACAATCTGGGCTGCTATGGTACTCACCTAGAATCCCAGCTATGCTCCCGGCTGAGGGCGGAAGATTGCAAACTTGAGATAAGCATGGGCAACTCAGACCTTGCCTCAAAAGCAAAAACAAGGGACTGGGAACGCACCTCAAGAAGAGGAGTGCCAGCGTAGTGTGTGTGAGCCCTGAGTTCGCTTCTCGGCAGCACAAAGCAGAAGGAGCCAGGCACAGCGTGACGCAGGCGTGGCATGACGCTAGCCTGGAATCCCAGCACTTAGAAGGTTGAGTAAGAAAACTATCAAAACTTCGATGCCAGCCTGGGCTACAGTGTGAGACCTTGTCTCACAAATAACAAAATAAGTAAATAAAAGACAAAATTAGTAAATGACTAGGATGGGGGGGTAGATAAAATACACAACTTGGTTTAACTTCTCTTTCTAAAAAGACATGCTTCTTACCAGGCCACAGGGTGTTTCCTCCTCTGAGGGCTCTGCAGAATTCCCTGTTGTCGTGCGCTGGATCCCCTCCGCACCCCTTTCTGAATGCTTTCCCCTCCTGGCCACTCTACCCCACTCGCCTCAGCCTCAAGCGCAGGGCTTTGGCTACCATACAGGTACTCACGCTGTCTGGGTGAGTCAGGAGCTAGATGCCAGCTGAAGCAAGTGCGCAGCCCCACCAGCAGAGCCGCGTGGGCGGATGGGAGGGAAAGTTCCCAGTAGGGAGTATGTTGAACAGGGGGCCGCGTAGGGTTGTCCATGGATAGGAAGGGCATCTCAAGAAAGATGGCAATTCCTGGGATTTAGGGGACAGGCTAAAAGGATTTTAATGACCTCCAGGGGAAACTTTCTAAAGCTGAGTAACCAAGGTTCTGATTTGGAGCGCGCTGAAGACTGGGGGAGACTAAATCTGGTGTTTGCCTTCTAGCATACAAGGTCTTGTGGGAACAGACATTGAGGCTGGTGGTCATCAAGGAGTGAGCAGTGTGAGGAGGAGCCCGGTAGGGGACAAATGCGCGGTCCCTACTAAAACCATTAAGCGCCATCCGAAGGGGAAGCTCGGGAACCAATCCAGCCCTCCAGCGTGCAGCGCTGGTGTGGCAGAGGCCCCAGTTCCGGTGCCGTTCTGACGAGGGCGGGTTCCGGCGCCGGTCCGCGGGGAGGGCGGGGCTTAGCAGTCGCCTGCTCTGGACCTAAACAGCTAGTGCACAGCGTTGGGCGAGGGAACCGACTCCGGTGGGATGGAGGCGGGCGGCGTGGCAGACTCGTTCCTTTCCGGTGCCTGCGTGCTATTCACCCTGGGCATGTTCTCCACTGGCCTGTGAGAGCGCGGGTGGACTGGGCTGGAGACAGGACCAGGATATCAGGAGAGGAAAGTGGTCAAGAGACGGGGCTACAATTACTGGCTGTGTCTGGAACCCAGAATGAAAGTGGAATAGGGCTGGATGATCTGGGGCGCTAGGGCGAGGCTGACCCGTCAGCCTGAGGGAGGAGATCTGCTTGTCGTTCAGGGTGGATGACAAGCACCGAGGACCCATTCTTAACAATTCCCTTTGGGTCCCCTTCCAGCTCGGACCTCAGGCACATGCAGAGGACACGGAGCGTGGACAGCATCCAGTTCCTGCCTTTTCTCACCACGGATGTCAAGTGAGAATATTGGCTGTGGTGGGAAAGGCGGAGGGAGGCGCAAGAGGTCCCTGGGGACCCCCTGCCACACTCAGCCCCTTGGACCATAATCCCTCCCCTCACAGCAACCTGGGCTGGCTGAGTTATGGCGTCTTGAAGGGAGACGGGACCCTCATCATCGTCAATACCGTGGGTGCCGTGCTTCAGACTCTTTATATCCTGGCATACCTGCACTACAGTCCTCAGAAGGTAGAGGCCCACCCTCGCACCCACCTCTGCTCCACGCCCTGCCGCGTTAGCAGAGCAGACCGTTTCCTGGAAGACTGGTGGGATGGCATTACTTCCTTTTCTTAGAAGGCCCTTCTGGTTCTCCTTCCCAGGAAGCCTACAAAATGCACTCACAGCTACCCGCCCTCCTCTTGCTCACGAGGCTGGTGTCAGTGCTGGGGAGAGGGGACTATATACTGTCTCTGGTCCCTTAGAGTTAGAGCCGGAGCCAGAGGTCTGCTTTCCCACTCAATCACAGAAACATTCAATTGTCTCCTACTGTATACCTGAGGCTCACATGAAAAGGGGAGAGAGAAAAAAAAGATCAACTTTCCCTTCCCTGGAGACCTCCAGTGTTGTGGCTGAGATTTCCTTCAAGTAACTGGTGCCAGAGACTGGCATGAAGCTGGGGTGAAAGCTTGGTCCCCATTAGAGCATGGACCAAGACAATCCCACCAGAGAAACCATGTTCTGGTGTAGCCTAAGTAAGCTGCTTCTCCTCCACAGCACACTGTGCTCCTGCAGACTGCGGCCCTGCTGGGGCTCCTTCTCCTGGGCTATGGCTACTTTTGGCTTCTGGTGCCAGACCTGGAGGCCCGGCTTCAGCAGTTAGGCCTCTTCTGCAGTGTCTTTACTATCAGCATGTACCTCTCGCCACTGGCTGACTTGGTGAGTGCGGTGGCCAAGAGGTGGGGAGAGAAGGGCTAGGCTACCTTAGCCAGAGACTGGCTGATATTCTCAAAGGGGGGGGGGAGGCCGGGCGGTGGTGGCGCATGCCTTTAATCCCAGCACTCGGGAGGCAGAGGCAGGCGGATCTCTGTGAGTTCAAGGCCAGCCTGGTCTACAAGAGCTAGTGCCAGGACAGCCTCCAAAACTACAGAGAAACCCTGTCTCGAAAAACCAAATAAAAAATAAATAAATAAATTTTTAAAAAAATAAATAAATAAGAGGGGGGAGGGGGGGAAGACCCAGCTCCTGGAAGGAGGCCAGGCAGTAGAGGTGGGTGCGCAGGGTGCAGGAGAGGGCTAGGTGAAAAAGCAGAGGGATTTGGGTCTTTTTTCCATGGAAATTCCTAGGCACAGGTTCAGGAATGGTAATGTGGACCTGAACCAGGAGTATTTCTGCCCTAGGCTAAGATCATTCAGACTAAATCAACCCAGCGTCTCTCCTTCTCACTCACCATTGCCACCCTCCTCTCCTCCACCTCCTGGTCTATCTATGGATTTCGCCTCAGAGACCCATACATCACGGTAAGATCCCAGGTGGGACAAGGAGTCTACGAGCAAACAGTCCCTGTCTTCATGGCAGCTCTGTGATTGCAGGTGCCCAACCTTCCTGGAGTCCTTACCAGCTTGATCCGCCTTGGGCTTTTCTGCAAGTATCCCCCAGAGCACGACAGGAAGTACCACCTTCTGCAGACCTGACCACAGGCACCATAGGGCCCACTTGATACCAAAAAGAGCTCCTGTTTCTGCTGGTCCTCCTGACCAATTCCACGGATACAATGGGTTGTGAGGAAAAAAGTTGATTTTGAAACTAGAGGGATCAAAGAAAGACCTTTACGTAGATTGGATGGGACCTATGGGATGAAATCGCATTTTAAGAGATTATCTTTTCTCATTTTGAAGGCTGAGGTGGTATCTTTAGACTGTGCCTTAAAATAAAGTGTTCCCACCCCTGCCCGCAGGGTTTGTGCTTTCTCCACGATTCTCAGCCTATCTGACTCGATACAAGCTGAGTCTGTGACTGGCCTCTGACAGAGCTAGAAGTCACAAAGACCTGGAAGTCCGTTTAAAAAGGAAAAAACAAAAACTTGGAGGTTATAAAAAAATGGAAATAGGGTATACATACAGCCTTTTGTGGGAAGCCTATAATCCCAGCACTTAAAGGGTTGAGGCAGAGCCGGGTGGTCCCAGCACTCAGGAGGTGGAGGCAGGCAGATCTCTCATTTTGAGGCTAGCCTGGTCTACAGAGTTTTGGGGCAGCCAGGGCTACACAGAGAAACTCGAACAAAACAAAGAGGTTGAGTCAGGAGGACTGCAAGGTTGATGGCAGTCTGAGCAACACAAGTTGTAGGCCAAGTTGGGCTACTTACTTAGTAAAACCATCCAAACAGATAAACAAAACAGGTTTGAGGATGTAGTTCAGTTGAGGGCTTACATGTTTGAAGTCCAGCAGGTTCAATCCCCAAACACGTAATCTAGTCATGAAACCTCTGCCTGTAATTAGGGATGTCAGGCAGAGGTAGAGAAAGGCATCCTCAGACATATGTCTGGGATACATGAGACCCTATTTCAAAAAGAAAAGAAAGATCTGAGAAGGGGACAGAACACCACCAAAATGCAATGCTAAAGCCTGAGAAGGTGGCTCTCCTGCCTCCGCTTCTTGACTTCCGATATATAGAATCCCAGTACCTAATCCCCAATACACAAGATACACAAGGCTAGAAACGAAAAACTGCACTTTAATGGGGAACGTGGAAGGATGTGCGGACGGAATGGGTGACGGTGTCAGAAGCGTAGCCCCCTGCGGGCTAAATCCGCTCGGGCCTCCAGGATCTGGCTCTGCAACTCTCGGGCGGCGTCCTCGCAGTCGTGAAAGGTGGCCACGCGATAGCCCACAGTGCCCAGGGCGTAGCAGCCAGCGGACACCAGCAGGTAGGCAGGCAGTGGCCACAGGACTTCCTGGCAAGGGAAAGGTAGCTCCAGGCCCAGAGCTCCCATGGTCAGGGCAGCCCAGGCAGAGCCCAGGAGCGCCAGTCCCCAAAGCCACTGGGTTAACTTCGTCATGGTCGCTGCAAGTAGAGGAATCTAGGTTGAGGATCCTATCGACCATTGCCCGCTCTGCATCTGACAAGCATTCCCATTCACTGCCACCCTCTTCCACTTTCCACTCAGCCCGCCACCTAAGCGTACCTCTGAGCGTCGCGTTAAGGTCCGCATCAGCGTCCGGAAGTCCTCTTCTACTAATGCTCTTCCTCCGCACTGCCTTCTGGGAACTGTAGTTCTCAGGACAGCGCCTGGGGAACTTCCGGCCGCGCTCAGGTCCGGGGAAAGTAACTGAGCGCTCTTTCAGAAATTGCAGGTTAAATCCAGAGGCGTTTTTGCGCTGTTTTCCTGGGCACCCAGATCTGGACGGACTGGGACTTGTGGAAAGTTTGAGGATAGGCCAAATGTTGCAGTTCTTCAGCGCAGAGAGCACACTCATTTATTAAATCATTCTTCCAACACTCCCACCAAACACTGAAGATCAACTCTACCACTGAGCCCTTTTTATTTTGAAACAGGATTTTACTAAGTATTTGGGATGACTCCAATTTGAGACCCTTTCTGAAACAGGCTAGTCATGGTCGGAATGTCACACACATACCTGTGATTCCAGAGGACCGCAACAAAAGAAGAAAGGGTCACTGCAGGATAAGATAAAGAGCTGCCTTTAGAATTCCAATTTAAACCAAACTAGAGGGGGTTTGTTTGACCTTTGGTACGTTTTGGTTTAACGTCTTTACGTGTGCATTTGTGTGTCTGTGTGAGCACCTGCTATACACATTCGGGTGCCTGCGGAGGCTAGGCGAGCCTATCAAATCCCCTGAGCTGGAGTCACAGGCAGTTGTGAGCTGGGTGACGTCGGTGCTCAGATCCTGTGAAACTGCTCAAGAGAACTGAACTACTGAGCCATTTTCCCAGCCTGGGTTTGTTTTGCTAATGACTCCAGGCTGGCCTAGAACATGACCTAGCTGAGGACCCTGAACTCTTGATACTCCTGTGTCCGCTTTCCAAGTGCTAGGATTACAAGTCACCAAACCCAGCCTGAAGCAATTGTGTAGGGTTCAAGGTAAGCAGAAGAGTTGGGGGGGGGGGGGGGGGCGGGTCAAGAAGTCCTGGACTAAGCCAGGAAAAGATGGCACACACCTAAAACACCAAGACTCAGGAGACGGGAAGATTATTCCAAATTCAAGGCCAATGGGAGCTACATAAGATCCTGATTTAAAAGAGAAACTCTGGCCTGAGTGGATTGAAGGTCCACTTGGGAACTAGAAAGTGAAGATAAAGGCGGACTGTGATGCTCAAAGAGCCACTGTTCAAAGTTTTTTAGCTGGATGTGGAAATCCAGACTACCTTGGTATGTCAAAGAGGGATCCACAGGACTGGGGAGTCAGCTCAGCAGTTAAAACACTGGCTGTTCTCCCAGAGGACCACGTTGCAGCTCACAACTGTCTGTAATTCCAGTTCCAAGGGATCTGGCACCCTCACACAAACATACTTGTAAGCAAAGCACCAATGCATATCAAATTTATTTATTTATTTATTTATT